AAAAAACTGAAGGAGTGCATCATCACCAAACCATTATTATATGAAAGACGAATCTAAAAAAAAAACCCAAAGCAAAAAGAATAACAGAGACCAAATCATGCATAGAGAGAGCATTCTGATGGTTGCCAGATGGGAGGGGTGTGTGGAGGAATGGATGAAGAGATGAAGGGATTAAGAAGTACAAATAGGTAGTTACAGGATAGCCATGGGGATGTAAAGTATAGGAAATGGAGTAGCCAAAGATCTTATACCTGTGACCCGTGGACATGAACAATGGTGGGGGGATGGCCTGAGAGAGTGGTGGGTGCTAGGTGGAGGGTGCCAAAGGGAAAAAATCAGGACATCTGTAATAATATCAATAAAATGTAATTAAAAAATAAAAATTGTAAAACTCGGAAAAAATAAAACATTAGGTGTCATTCCTCTGCTCAAGCTTCTACCACTGGTGGCTTTCTGTTATCCTTCATAAGATGAAGGTGGCTGGCCTGGATGACCAACCTGACTCCATTCTCCTCAGCCAGCCTCACTGTCTTTGAGTCTTAAACAGGCTATATTCTTTTCCACCTCAGAGGCATCTGCCTACCCTGCTCTTCTGCCTGGAGCTCCTGTGGGTGGTTCCTTCTCATCCAGCTTGAGTGACACCTTCTCAGGGAAGCCCTCCCTGACCACCCAGGAAGAAGTACCATATTTTGCAATGTACAATGTGCTCCTGTGTATACTGTGCACCCACATTTTTGGGCCAAACTGTCAGGGAAAAAAATTTTAGTTTTAATTTTTTAGTTTAATTTTTTTATTTATTTATATTTAGAAACAAAACTAATTATCATATTCCAGGGTATTTTTTCACATACAGATGTTGTTATTGCTTTATAGAGTTATACTTTTAATGCATAAGCATAAATAAAAGAAAAACATTTGTATAGATACAAGATTAGTACTACCCATGTATAATGCACATCCTTATTTTTCCCTCAAAAATTTGGTCAAAAAGTGCACATCATACACGGCAAAATACAGTAGATCCTCCAGTTATTTTCTCTAATAGCATCTCCCCATGGTTTTTTAACTCTGAATTTGTTAGTTGATGACTTAATTAATGCCTGCTACCCCTCCCCCCAAGCAAAGGATCCAAACTGTATCTTTTCTGTTCACCCTTGTATCACTCCAGAGCCTGGTACATGAGAGAAATTTAGTAAGTATGTACTGAGTGAATGCATATACAGTGTCTCAGCCACTTGACACAGATATTAGTAAATTCAGGGGTAGGAAAAAGTAGGTTTACAGTTTTGAGAATGCCAAGCGTAGTTTATTCTTTTATTATTTATTAATTATTATATTATTTATTTATATTATAACTATAAACCTAGTTTAGCCCTCTCCTGTATTTGGCGAGTGAAGTGGTGAAGAGATGGGTAGAAAATAAATTACTGAAAGTCTGTTTTCCCCATTCTTAAGTTGGTAAAACTATCTACTTTTCTATATTTTTGATGACCTGGATGGAATTTTGTATTCTTGAAATGTATCTTGGCAGAATGAGGGCTTGCCAATGACCCCATGTGGCAATCCTGTCTGTATAACCCTGTGAGAGCCCACAGTAGTGTCACACCACCCTATCCCCATCTTTATCTGTTTCACAATATTCTGTCTAGCCCTTTAAATCTTGATTTGCAGTTATTTGTCTTTCTGCTCTGCACAGTGCCCTCTTAAGGCATTCTTTATTATTTCAGCTGTAAGAACACAAGCCTGTTGAAAAGAGAACATGCTTTGAATAAAGCCTGCTTGGTGGTCAACTTGATGGGTAGCAGTGAGGCTGTCAGTCTCTGGCTGCCCTCTCTAACAGTGTCTCTTAGGCCCCAGCAGGTCTGCAGTCTCAGCTTAGTACTCTGCCAGGTGTATTTTTGCCATGAGGGATTTCTTCTCCAGAATGAGGTATAGTCATTCTCTTCAGAGATACTGGATTTTTCAGCAGCCTCCTGTGCTTGGCACTAAGGATGCAGCAGTAGGTACGTCATGGCCCCTGTCTTAGGGATTTAAAAGGGGAAATGGTACAAATTTGATAGGCAAAAATTAAGAAACCAGACACTGTCAAATGTTGGAGAAGATGTGTGTTCATCATGTATCTCTGGCCCTGCTGGTAGAATGTATGCTGGCACTTTATCTAGCAGAGGTGGGTACTCATTCCCCCTGGAACCCAGCAGTTTAGTCCATGACCTGTGCCCTCCAGAACCTCTTTTTGTACTGTGCATCAGGCAGAATTCTTGTGTGAGAAGGAATTCATCATAGCATTTTCCAGTAAAAAACTGGAAATGGCCCAAGTGAGTATCTATAGGAGGCTGAATCATGGTCTGTGTATACCATGTGATATATACCACATTAGCAGTGAGAGAACCACAGATGCTACCAACGTGTGCACCAAGTTGAAGTTCAACAGTTTACAAAATAAAGCAAATTATTGGTTAGGCATATATCCTACATATGTAGTCAGCCTCTATACAACCATATACATGTGTGTAAAATGAAAGGGAATACAACACACCAAATCCAAGGGTGTGGTTATCTCCAGCTGGGACAAGTGGGAGAGCTAGAAGGGGAGAGAGCACATGGGGATATAGAGTCCCTGGTAATGTTGAATCTTAGGTGGATCATGGGTTGTAGATGTTTATGATATTGTCATTTAAATCAGTAAGTTCATGGAGGTGGAGCTGACAGGGCCATCAACCAGCAATGACAAGTCAGTCTCAGAGTCACAGAGGATAGTAAGCAGCTCTGTCCAGAGGGGGCAGGAAAGCCCTCCAAGGAGATGACTAGAGAGCTGGGGGTTTAGTGATGAATGAGAATTTGCCAGGTAGAAGAAGTCCCAGGGAGAAGGAGCCTCATGGACCCAGGGCAGAGACATACAGAACCATGGTGTGTGCAATGAATCACTCAAGCTCCCATTGTCTATGGTTAAAGGGTTGGGAGCAGATGGAGCAGGAATAGCTGTAAGGTGGGCCTGGTGGTGGGAGGTTCCAATGAAAGCAGAGGAGCCTGGCAAGCAAAAAGGATCCTGGGGGCTGTGGCAGCCCCCACCCATCCTGAGCAGCATCACTCAGTGGGGATGACTGTTTCCCCATAGAAGTTCAGTCAACCAAAGCATTTTCTGTTACAACAGCTACACCCAAAAGGTTTAAAAGTCACTATGTAGAAGATAGGAGCTCTTGTATATGTTGGTGCCAAAGGATTGCATCATCAGACCTGTGTTTTAGAAAACTGGCCCAGAGGAGAGAGGGCAGCATTCTGGGCCAGAGGACAGCTCACTGGGCTGCTGTGAGTCTTGGGGGAAGAAGTTGTAATTCAGGTCCTACCTCACTGAGCAGACACTTAGTGTGACATAATATTCAACATTCTCCAGTTACTCTGAGATGCATTCCTAAAAATCTGTTTCCCTTTGCCCATATAGACCATTTCAGAGATGTTTTATGTTTCTCCTTGATTGATCTTGACTGTAGCTTTTGACACTGCCTCTCACTTTCTCTGCCCCCCTGACCTTTTGGTTAGGCAGTTAATGATCTTTAAACAAACACTTGAGTATTAAGGCTCTCCAGAAAGGGACCTGGGCCTGATGTCATAGCATTCTCCCTTTATCCAGGGAGAAAATGAGTGTTCCATACACCCCACTTTGTAGACAAAGATGCTTGTGACCTGAAGGTCAAAATTGTCTTTAGGTTAACAATTTTTGATGGCAGATTTTCTGAAATATGTTATACATTTCTCTGCTTTGCTAAAGAGAAATCCATGAACATGATTTCATCTCACCTCTGAGACAATGAATCCTAGTAGGAACATTCATTTCATGAACATTTGTCAGGGCCTATTCCTTGTCTATTCCTGATTTACAAACTGTAGGCACAGAAATCTGCCTGGTGTAGAGTTGGTGTAATGATTTAGAAGCAGAGATAAAAAATCAAGCTTGCCTGAATTCCTGGGTGACTTCCCATCCACTTACCCTCCCCTCCTGCACTCCCTGCTGAAGCCCTCCCATGTCTTTCTTTATTTCTCAAATTCACCAAGCCTCTTTCAGGCCTTTGCACTTATTGGTTCCCCTGTTTAGAACTTCTTCTGGACCTTCACACAGCTTCTTCCTATGATCAGGAATTGCCTCTACAGAGATCTTTCCTAACCACTGATCTAAAAAAGCCAGACCCTCCCACAACCCCAGGCCTTCTCTATAGCATGTTATATATAATATGCATATAGATATAGAAATAGATATTAGTTATATATATTCAAACAAAAATTTGTATTCTATTTGTAGTAATATAAATTTAGTTGATATATTAACATGTTTATAATTTTGTTGTTTTTTTCTGAGTATTAAGCTCTTTGGAAATAGACTTCACTCTATTCCTACCCTTAGAACAGTGTCTGGAAAACAGCTAGGATATATGCATTGATGAATAAAAAGTGGCCCTGCCCTGGAGAAGCCCACAGGCTAGCAAACAGATGTGTACAGATTAAGCAGTGATAGCACAGCAGGCCGAGTGTGATTGAGAGGGGCTGAGGTGGGACCATGGAGAAAGAGATCCTACCCACTGAAGTCTGCATAGACTTCCCAGAGCAGTGGTGTTTGACCTGGGCTTTCAAGGACAAATGGGCATAGGTTGGCAGGCTGAGGAACTGGGGGGCCCTTCTGCATGGGGTGGCAAGCCTATACAGAGGGTTCAAGGCAAAGATGTGTGGGAATGGAGCTTGGGGTGAAGCAGGGACTAGAATATTGGAGGAAACTAAGGTAGTACGGGATTTGGCTGCTGTGACCACTGCCCACATCTTGGACTAGGGTGCCCAAGGTGTGGACCTGGGCCTCGTATTTGTAGGGTGGAGTCTGTTCTGTCTAAGGGGAGTCTGGCCCCAGAGCTCCCCACAGCTAGCACATGGTAGCATGGGACAGGGATTTCTCCACCTGGAACCCTCAACCTCAGAGCTTGTGGGTTTCATGACTTTTGTCTTTTGCTTCTGACCAGGTTGTGAAGAAGGTCAAGTCCATGCAGATGTTCCACATGCCTGTCACCTCAGCCATGCAGGGAGACCGGCTAGGCATCTGTGTCACTCAGTTTGACCCCAAGCTGCTGGAACGTGGCCTGGTGTGTGCCCCTGAGTCCCTGCACACTGTCCATGCAGCCCTCATCTCCGTGGAGAAGATCCCATATTTTCGGGCACCCCTGCAGACCAAAGCCAAGTTCCACATCACAGTGGGCCATGAGACAGTCATGGGCCGGTTGATGTTCTTCAGCCCTTCTCCTGACAGCTTTGACCACGAGCCTGTGCTGGACACCTTCGACTTCTCCAAAGAATACCTGTTCCAGGAACAGTACCTCTGCAAAGATCTGGTGCCGGGGGCAGTAAGCAGTGATCAAGCCAATGAGAAGGTGGGCCAGGCCACAGAAGGCCAGTATCCTCGGCAACAGTGGGCCCTCATAGAGTTTGAGAAGCCTGTCACCTGCCCTCGGCTGTGCCTGGTGATTGGTTCCAAGCTAGATGCGGACATTCACGCCAACATGTGCCGTCTGGCCTTCCATGGCATCTTACTGCATGGGCTGGAGGACAAGAACTATGCTGAGACCCTCTTGCCCAGGCTAAGAGTATACAAGTTGAAGCACAAGCATGGTCTTGTAGAGCGGGTAAGCAGCTCCTCCCTGCCCATTGCCCTTCTGTCTGGCTCTGGGGGCTGGGATGGACACAGTTTGGCATCTGTTATGAGAGCCAGGAAGGCTTCAGAGACTTTCTGATTACAACTTCTGTACTTTTTAGACAAGGAAACTGAGGCCGTCAGTGGTCAAGTGGCCCAGGTTCTCTTATCCCATTAATCATTGTGCCTGGGTCTAAACCCAGGTGGGGGAGCCCAATGTACCCATCACAGTTCAGCTGCTCTGGTTCCCCTCTTCCTTAGGTAGTAGAGGTGCCCACATAGGGCAGAGCAGGCCTGGCTGTCACACAAACCACTTTCAGACAGCAGTGTTTCACCTAGGCCAGCAACCAGCAGTGTCAATGGCCTTCCTAAACTTTGGATGAGAGGCTGGGCCCTGCCCCATCACCCTGATGCCAGGCCCTGGCTCTCAGTTGGGGGCTGAGTCTCATCAGGCCAGGTAGCTTCCATGTCTGCCCTAAGCCAGTCATGTCAAGGGAGGAATCATGGCTGGTCATGCAGGCCAGACTGGGCCAAGTCTGTCCTTAACCTGTGGGGTGGGGTGGGGAATAAGGGTTAATGGTAGCAGGGGGGGCCAGAGAACAAGAGGTAGGAAGGTACAGGAAGATGACAGAGAGGAAGGGCCCCTGCTGCTGGTTTTCTGGGGTACCTGATATCACTGGAGGCAGGTCTTAAGTGTGTGAGTAAGCCAGTCTAGTTTATAGGCTTATCATTAGGGGGGATAGTTATGGGAGCCTGAGAGAGCCTACACAGGGTCCCAAAGTCCTGGAACCCCCTCCTCCCATTGGGTGGATCTGCCCACCCCCAACATCCATCCCTACAGGTCTGAGTGGGAATCCATGCCTACTGGACCTCACATAAATGGGTGGACAAATGTGCAAACCTCACTAACTTCACTGTCCCTGGGGCTGGCTGCCTTGGTGTGGGTCTGTGCAGGTAAGGGATGGCTGTGTGTTTAGCTGACTGAGCTTGGCAGTGCGGAGACACCAGTGTTGGGGAGCTCAGGGTCCTAGTGGGAAAAGCCCTTGTAACCGAACAAGTGGGCTCGACTGCCTGCCATAATGAAAACCAAACTCATGAGACACATGTCGATGCAAAAGGGAAAAGGGTTTTATTCAGATGCTGTGACCCAGGAGAATGGTGACTCATGTCTCAAAGACCATCTTATCGTCCTGATCAAGCCTGCAATTCTTATAGGGATAGGGAGAAGAGGGCTTTTTTTCCTATCTAATTATTTTACTACATTTTTGCATGCTTGGGCCCTATCCATTCATCTTTCTAGACCATGGCTCACTCAGTGTACCTTCTTCTGCACCATCTTAGCCAGTGGGAGAGACTCCCTGGCACTCCCTGACTATCTACAGTATCAGGGTCAGTTGGGAAGGAGTGCTGCAGAACCTGCCATCAAGAAGCCTGGAGGTGCCATAGCCCTCAGCCCACCTCCCCTGTACTTGACTTGTACCTGCACATCCAGGAGAGCTGGTTGGAATCTGCAGGGCACCCCTAGGTCCAACTACACCTGCATGCAGCCCCATTGCCCCCCTCCCTCCCCTTTCCCATTTGGCCTGCCCTTCTGACTGACTGCTTATGGTAACATCCTGAGGCTCTTAGCAGGCCCTGTTCCCCAGATAGTGGGATGAGTTCACCCCTGTGGTCTATCCCTGCTTGCATCATCACAGACTCCAGCTCAGTGTCAGACCCATACTGAGAAGGTGCTCAGGAGAAGATGCCCAGGACCTTGGGCATTAGGAAGTATTGGGGTTACCATTGTCTACCACCCTCTTATCTCACTTACTTCTTCCAGATCCCCAGGTATTCTCCTCTGGAGGTCTGCATTGCAGAACCCTTCCCCTCCCCTCCTCATCTCAGAATGCTTCCTAGGAACTCAGGCCTGTCCCTCTTTCTCTCCTGCACTTACACCTCATATGCCCTCTGATGGAGAAATGAGAAGCAGCCCCTTCCTTACCTGCTCACAGGTCCAAAGCTTGGTATTCCCAGCCCCATGAGCATAGCCCTCCAGCTCAGCCAGGCACAGTTTGGTCACCCTGTGTGTGGATCCTGGAGCTGGGTCTGCATCCCATCTCTGCTGTTCTCTGGGCAGTCAATGGTCCTCTGTGAACATTTGATTTTTTCGTCTGCAGAGTGGTGGTATGCCTAAGTTCCTGGGGTCACTAGGAAGTGTTGAAGGCTGACTGTCAGCCCTAGGCAAGCCCCAAGATGCTCATTTAAGATGAATGTGATAAAGCACTCATCACTCATTTGTCTAACTTGATTTATTAGCAGCATTATGGAGTAAAATTATTTTGTGGTGAAATATCTACCATGGAGTAATGCCCCACTTGGTGTGTTCATGGATCTAATTGTCCCCCACACCAGCCTGTCAGTGGTGCTGGCAGTCACCTCCTGTAAGGACAGGAGCATAGGTTTGTGAGCAGCCAAGTAAACACACTGCTGAAATTACTCAAGCTGGAATGTCCTTGGTAGGAGACTTGCCTTCTGGTAAGGTTGGTAAAGCATTGAACTTGGGGATCAGATTAATAGGGCTCAAACCCTGACTATGCCATACAACACTGCATACCTCAGACTGCTGTTTTATTTCAGCATCCTCATTCATTCACGGCAAACTATTGACCTCATAGGATTGTTTTGAAGGAGCCACCATAGCACAGGGTGTCACATGTAAGAGTTAGCTCTAGCACAAGTGTAGCCAGAAGGCTGGGCTGTTTGTGAGGGGTAGCCCTGTTTGCTTTAAGCAGGACCCAGAGTGCCCAGAGATTTTCAAATTGCTTGGTTGGCCATGGTGTGGGCTGTGTGGCAGAGTGGTCAGATGTGCAGGCCCAGGGCGTGGCAGGCCTGGGCTTCATTTCCACCCTCATACCTCCTACTGTGCAAATGGGGTGGTTGTGAGACTTCCCTGTACCTGAGGGACATCACATGCCCTGTGGGATCAGATGGAGGTGAGATGGAGAAGTGCATGTGAGGGCCTGAGATCAGTGCTTAGCTCCTAAGTCTGTGTTTGCTGTTTCATATATATTAATTTTTAAGCTCTTGGGGTTAGAATAATAAATCCTGGAGGTTGGGGCCAGAATGGTATTTCACTCCTTTCCCAGGACATTATTATCCCTCTTTGAAGGACAGGGACCAGTTCCCCAACCCCTTCAGGATCCACCCAGGGTTTGTGGAAGTGGCGTGTTTGAGAAGGTAGTTAAGAGTCAGTCTGGCCCATAGATGTGGTTGTCCAAGGCAGGGAGAGCCCATGCTGATCTTTCCCCTGCCATGCTTGGCTACCTCCAAAATTTCTTAGACACAATCACAGCTACCTCCCAGTGTCCTGGGCATGTCTCCAAGAGGCCAAGTAATCTTGAAAGGGTTAAATTCAATCTCCTAGGACAGATCACCACCTTGGAAAGCCAACTCCCAGCCTTTGCTTCATGATGCTGGGCCAACTCTTTGTGTCTGTTCTGCAGACACAGTCAGCTTTCTGGGAGCTCAGCTTGGTGCTCCAATATGTCCTCCATTCATAGAAAAGGAAGGCCCAGTCCTCCACAGATAGGTGTTGAATGGACACTTTCCATCTGGGAAGATGTAGGTAGATAGGCTTTCTGAGCCTATTACCTAAAAGATATTATTCATTCATATGTTCAGATGTTTAGCAAGATCCCATGTATGTCAAGCACTGGGGATACAACAAGATGGACAAGTTCTTGTCCTCACAAGGGAAACTGGCAAGGGACAGTAAATTATACACTTTCAGATAGTAGTAAGTGTTAGAAAGAAAGTAACTAAGGGAGGTAACTAGGAAATGCTGAGGACCGTGCATGACACATTGCAAAGGCCAGCTCTCCACCCTTCCCAGCCTTCCCTCTCCCTGCGCTAGGCTTCACTCTCTCCCATTGGACCATATCAGACTCCTTCACACATGTGGCTTAACTCATTGGTGTCACTTAGAGTGACTATGGCCCATGGGCCACATTCCAGCAACTGGTCTTGCCCTACTTCTAATCATCTTCTAAGCTAGTTTCCTCTGGATTCTCTTTCTGAGCTGCTGCAATCAAATACAACCTAATTAACTCACCACTGGAAGTGGCTTTCTTTGTTCAGCAACAAATGAGTCACTTGGGAACTGACTTTGGTTGCTGGCTAATTCTCATTTTTTATTTTTGTGAAGAAATTCTGCTGTGATATACTGTTTGAAATTTTCTCACTTTTCTAACCATTATTTTTCTGTGAGCTTAGAATGTATGTGATGCCAGTGTATACTGTATTCTGTCAGTAGAGCCAATAAGGAACACAACACTTTGCCATGTAATTCATTTAAATAATATCCACACCCCACTGAGCCTTAGAAGTGTAACATTTAAAGTCCACTTTTTCTGTATTGAATGTGGATGTGCACTATTGGTGGATGTACACTGATAATATGAGTAAATAACTAAAACATGTGGTTGGGTGAGATGCCATGAAGCTCTCCCTGTATTATTGTGATTTGTTGTGCACCCAGCACTCCCTAGATCTCTATTGTAACTGCTCAGCTCTACTGCTGTGGTCAAAATGGAAATGAGTCAGTGTGGCTAAGTGCCAGTAAATTTTACTTATGGACACTGAAATTTGAATTACTTTATAGTTTTCATCCATCAAGAAATAGTCGTCTTTTGATGTTTTTCAACCCACTGGAAAATGTAAAAAGCACTCCTAGCTAAAAGCCATACAGAATTGGTGGACAGAATTTGACCCTTTAGCTATAGTTTTTTGACACCTGATCTAAATGGTAAATAGGAATCTTAAAATAGACAACATATCCTGCAAGGAAAAGTCTGATGTCATCTACAGCTACAAGTGCTCTCTCTACATTCCCTAGGAGGTGGGTTCTCAGGTTCTCAGGTGGGGCTTGGATTAATAGAGTAGGTCCAGAGCACTCACGCCAAGGGGAGAGAAGGAAAATAAAACAGTTCTAAAGGACTGTCTTTCTGAGGA